AAAGGATGCTACGTACCACACTCACCTTAGTAAATTACTGTGCTATGAAACTATCCAGTGCTTTGGACATCAGTCAAGTTTCAAGTGAAACAGATGGTCGTAGAAGGCGAGAAAGAATACCACTTCATTACTTATTTTGCATACTTGCTCTCTTCACAGTTTCGAAAAGCTTTGAACATCGTCGTTTTCATAAACATGGAAACTTGGCTTCCACCAGCTCAGTCTCAAACCTGCCTGAATGATTGAAGAGCCTTCATTTAATAAGAATAATCTTGACGTTGAAGTACATGGCTGCACCCTGCACGAATTTCATTACGATGTGTTTTTTTTGTAGAAACGGCAGTGCCGTTTCTATAAAAAAACACATCTTACTAGTTTACTCTTTGGAGCACTTTTCATGATAGGCTGATTTGAAGTAGCGGCATATGTGAAGAAATCTGCTCGAGAACCAAAGATGTCGTGCGCTTTTTGTGGCACGGAAGGGTACAGTAAGCGAGCTACAGTTTTATGCCTCATCAGGTTTGTACCGGAAGAGGTTGATATGTGTTGGTTTCCGTACTCAGACCTATTGTTCTAGTCCCTCACTATGTCTCTTCGTCTCCCCTTTTTCTCGAATGCTTATCCAACGGTCGAAATTGAAGGGCAAGGGTGAAACAAAGCTAAGGATATTTTAGATAGCTACTCCTATTTTTCCTCAACTGGAGATAATTGAGCTATTACAACCTTATAGTTGAACATGTCATACCACCTCATATGGCTCGCAATCGCTAAACATGCTTTCTGGTATCCTCTGAATGATTAGCTTTCGTAGAATCAGAAAATCGGCATCCAAGCTCTGCTATTTTCATAATTATAGAATCCTAGCACTGGAAAACCTAGTAGTTTTTACTAGTATCTGTTCGCAAGTGTCGACAAAACCTGACTGTAAAATACATGAGACATTTCGGAGTTTTATTTCGCGTTATTTTCCAATATTACAACATTGTTCCATGTTAACTCGCTTTCTAATTGTAAATCGTTCTGTGCATTTCGCTTTGAACACTTGTGAAAGTAATCGAAACATAAAAATTCTTCACTTATGAAGGACATTTAGCGAACGAGCGAAGATGTGAGCACCAAGCACGAGCGATTACAAGCACATGATATCCTTTGCTTCCGATTTCCGGCAGCGCAATCAGAGCCCCATCTCTTTCCGCTGACTTTTTCCTTTCTGTCAGGTCATTTAGCTTCTAGGTAGACAAGCCTTAATATTTGGCCCAAAGCGCACTGATTGCGGTTAAGGAATGCGTTTTAAATGCACAGTTCACGCTAGCTAAGGGGAGAGCATAGGGCAGCGCGCTGGGTGTTGCTTGATGGTAAGTTCTTCCATAAAAGGCGTTGGCCTCTGATCTGTTCCTTCACCAGAGTGCCTCTGGGACAGAACTGCTTCTCGACATTTTGACCCAGTGAGACTGTAAAATCACTTGAGGAACCTAGGGGTGTAGGGAACTACGTACATGTAGAACGATTAATTTCTGATATTTAATGGTGATCGTCTGAATGGTTGTCACAACGTGGGTTGAATGACAGCTTCTCCGGAATTTTGAAAATTTTTTGCAAATTTTTTTGCAAAAGTCGAAACTTTGCTTACCATTAGATGGGAACCTGTCGGAGTGTCTTAACTGGAATCTCTAGAACGGAGGCTAACAAAAGCCTACATCGCTAACTCGTTAGATGTAAAATAAAGAGAGAGAGGACGCCGCAACAGTCTGCTGAAGAGCGACTGCTCTGTTGATCCTGTTGGTTTGGTTGTTCTTGTGTTCTGTACTGTTATTTTCTATGAAAATGACGATCAGTTGTTTTTCAGGGAACAGTTCTCGACGATTTATGTCCAGCAGGAAACGGGAAGACTTCAAATGGCTCTTCAAGATTCACCACATCTGCACAGTATTTCTCTATGCAATATTCCAACTGAGCCTTTTCTTGAACCTCTACGTTCTGCTGAGTCGAGAGGACACCATTTTTTACTTGAGGATTTATCACTCAGTAAGCATAGTTACGAAGTTTTTCCGAAAAATCACGAATGTTTTTTCGAATATATCCATATCCATAGCAGCACTGCGGTAGCTGATGAATCTCAAGTTCACTTATCTTGTAACGGCAGGGAACTCACAGGGTTTTTCGTACAAGGCGGCCAAAAAAAGTCACTTTTCTCCATTGACCACCATATTAAAGAGCATATTAAATACTCATGACACTCCGCCACAGCCTTCTGGACGAGCGCCATCGAGAGATTCACGCGACCGCGATGTGGTGCCTGAGATCAGCGAGATAGTCGATTTCTCCGCCACCGTAGACCACCCTATTGAACTCCGCCCGAACCGGGTAATTGAGGGGATTCAGGTCAGGTGACCTACTTGGATATTCCATCTTCTTTAGGTACTCAGCCCCCTTCCATTCCAAGTAGGCGAGAGTTTCTCCAACGCCCTTCGATTCCATGTGGTGATCGAGAGTACTGGTCTCCAGGTAGCTATCCATGGGTGACTCCATACTAGAAGTTTCGCAGCTGTTTGGAGGTGACATGAATTCCAAAGGTCTTCTCCAGTCAGGCTGCGACTGGAGATGACTTCATATTTTGGTGTACATGAAGGTGATGGGCGAGAGCCAGCTTATCGAGGAACATCTTGGGTATCTTCCGCCCTGGTACTCGTATCCACGTCCTCTGTCTGGGCAGCGAAAACTTTGCTGATATGTGACTCGGTCGAAGTGACTTTTTTGCCCCCCCTGTATAGTGGGTCCGTTCTTATGAGTCTCCTTAATTTTTAGCGCAACAAAGCTACGATATTTTTGTTAATAGACGTGGGTTTCTGCTCTCCTCTTCCCTTTCTGTGAACTTCCAGGTGTGGTTGTTAAAAAGGAAGGTGTTGTAGAAAGGAAGGTCGCAGAGAGACAGGAATTTTGGCCGGGGGGGAGCATACTTAGCAGATAACTTCTCGCAAAGCGCTGGTGCCCCGATCACAGAGACCATGCAGGTGTAGCAAAGCTTCCTTAGACGGTGCGTGATGGCTCAAGCGAATGAACTTGGTGAAGAAACTCCACTGCATTGTTTCTGGCTCAGCAGACATTTGATATGTGATTCCTCCCGAGAGAAAGTGGTGTAATGGCAAGTATCGAAGCTTACAAGGCTCACAAGGCTCACGATCTGGAAGTCAGACTTTGGTTCCCCTCTTCAGAGGGAAGTAAAATCCGTGGCGCTTCTTTGATGAAACCAATTAATTTCGAAAGTTTGATCTTTTTCAAATACATATTATGCTTAATATCATTAATTCAAAGATAATCGCCTTGCTGATGTTCTGCTGTGGAATAATTGAAATCGAGTTCTTAATTCGGACACGAAAACTGGAGAAGCTCGAGGAACCTCACGAGATACCCACACCAGCGCTCATTGGTACATGTTCCCTACTTTTATTTGTAACTAACTGGCGTAAAGAACGAAGTTTGTTTTTTCCAGGGGCTGTTGCGTTGACTATTGGAATCGTTCTAGGTTACCTATACTTTATTATATTTAACTATGCTTTTCAGGTGAGTTGATTAAGATTATTCCGGAAAATATTCTGAAAAACTCTTTCCTTTCTTAACAGCTTCATATAGTTTTTTATTTGGTTTTCTGACAGCTATGGAATCTTAAAAATTTGTCGTCATCGGAGCTGTTAAGATCTGTATGGTTTACAAAGCTCCGAGCAATAAACTGCCATCACACTATACCATTTTCTAGTCCCATCGATCTTTCGGATTCCTCACCGTACACCAGCAGCGGCCTATCGGCCGTTTAAAGAGTCTACTGGACCCTCCTAGCTGGAGGAACATAAAGCCCTTCCTTCATTCCCCTTAGGCAGAGCTTTTGTGAGAAATATAACGGTGGGGTGGTGGTTCTTATGTTCTCGTTCATGCTGCCGTGGAATCCAGTGGGTAACCTGTTCAGGTCAGACGATGAATGGAAGTCGCATAATGCATGCTGGACCGACCTACTCCTACATTCCTAGGCAAGACGCCATCGCCCAAACTTTCGACCGTTTGCAGTTCCCGGACCTCCGTAGGTAGTGAAGCATTACGAGAAATAGCCCATCACCCTGCCTGACGAATTGTAATCCGTATTTTAAAAGTGCCTGCATTAATTCAGTCCAGTTTCAACTTCACGACTGACGTGTTTGAACTACCTTCTATCATATACGGAGCACCTGAGAGTCCGACACGATAACAATTCCAGAACGGTGACAACTTGATCGCACGCAATCTAATAGTTCCGCGCGAGCCTATCGTTGGGTCGTGCTGTGAGTGCTGAATGGCTTCCTTCCCGCACTCGATCCTATGATCTACATCCTCAACGCCGGTACTTATGGTGCTGAGTCTAACTCGAATCTCGATAAGTTATGGAAATTTGAAGTTTGCAAAAAGGCCTGAACGCTTGAATCTGTCAGCGAACACCTAAGCTAGGGCAGGTCCCTGTGATGATCCTGCTACGTGAGGAGTAGCCCATTTATCTATATTTTGAGAAAGAGCCGTAATTTTATTGAAAAAAAGAGCTTAGCATGGTCGAGTGAAATGGATAAACGGTCAAGACAATGGCAACTTGCCGCTTCGTCGCGCGCTCCCATAAGCGCGCAGTTTTCTTAGCTTACGTTAGCCCTGTTCGGAATTGAAGCCCCCAGATTTCATGTAAGGCTGCGTTGTATACTTTCGCCGGCAGCGATAGCGTAGCGCTTCCAGCGTTACGGCAGCGGGCAGTGCGGCGAGGGGAGATTGCAATATCGCATCTATGGCGGTTCCAGAGTCAACCAGTAGCTGGATACGCCGCGGCCGTCACGTATAATAAACTTGCGGCAGTAGCGTAGCGCCTTTCCAGCGTACGCCCAGAGCATGCCGAACCGAGAGGTATGGCATATCGATCTACGCTTCACCAGCTGTCACCAGAGGCCGCGCTAAGCGCACGCTGGCGAGCGAGGGCAACGGGAAGCAGTTAGCTTATCGGATACTAGCTTCACCAGCGTTTCTCGAGCGTTTCTCCAGCGGCACCAGCGTTTTGCTAGCGCTTGCAGCGGCAGGGAGTAGAGACCATGTGGCCGGCAGAGACGCGGAATCGACGTGTATTGTAGAGACTATGGGGCCGTCGAAGACGCAGAAGCGATGTGCATTGTAGAGACTATGGGGCCGTCGAAGACGCAGACAATGCGCATGTGCATTGTAGAGCGACAAGGGCGAGTGGATAATACGCGCAATCGATGTGCTTTTGTACCCTCCAGCTCTCCCATAGTCTCTACTCCCTGCCGCTGCAAACGCTAGCAAAACGCTGGTGAAACGCTGGAGAAACGCTGGCGTACGCTAGCGTGCCGCTGGTGACGCTGGTGAAGCTAGATCGATATGCATCCTCTCTTCGGCACTGCCGCTGGCGTACGCTGGAAGCGCTACGCTACGCTGCGCTACGCTACGCTACGCTGCCGCAAAGTATAAACGCAGCCTACGCTAGCGTACGCTAGCGTTTCTCCAGCGTTTCACCAGCGTTTTGCTAGCGTTTGCAGCGGCAGGGGAGTAGAGACTATGGGAGAGCTGGAGGGTACAAAACACATCGATTGCGCGTCTCTCACTCGCCCTCAGTCTCTACAATACACATCGATTCCGCGTCTCTGACGGCCACATAGTCTCTACATACACATCGATCAGTCGCGTCTCCTCTGCGGCCACATAGTCTCTACTATACACATCGACTCCGCGTCTCTGACGGCCACATAGTCTCTACAATACACAACGATTGCGCGTCTCTTACGGCCACATAGTCTCTACTCCCCTGCCGCTGCAAACGCCAGCAAAACGCTGGTGAAACGCTGGAGAAACGCTGGCGTACGCTAGCGTTACGCTGGTGACGCTGGGAGCGCTAGATCGATATCCATCCTCTCCCCGGCACTGCCGCTGGCGTACGCTGGAAGCGCTACGCTGCGCTGCCGCAAAGTATAAACGCAGCCTAAACTAACGACGTCGTGACATTTATGGGGTTCTTGGCTATACACTGTTTATTGTCGCCTGAGTTGTAGTGGCATTTCGAATGCGATTTCACCTGTACGTGATTAGCGGTGACAATGAGCAAATCAGCGTACTTGCTCCGTATGTGATATACAGTTGTTCGCTGCGAGTGGAGTGGCTTGTCAGTAAGGCTGGGATTGGTGCGCAGCCAGCCCCTTCTCCACCATTTGTTGAGGCGCGTAAGCGACAACAATTGGTGGAAAACGGCTGATACGATCCATACAGTTTTGTCACTTGCCACGAGGAAAAAAAGAGAAGGCGGCTGGCGCTGCTCGCGCCCACCCTCCTATCTGTTGACACGCCCTATGATTCACAGAGAGCTAGCGACAGCGCACCATTTTCATTTGCTGGCGCAGGTCGCACGCGACGCCCATCAGCGCCGCAATGAATGACACAGAGCTGCGTATTGCATTTTTGATGAGAGATATTTCTGCGTGAAATCTTGAAAGTGGAATATATGTAGAAGGGAGAACTCGTGCGGTCCGGTGATTTACGCTAGTGACGCAACTCTGGCGCCAGGAGGAGCCTGCGCGCCGAAAAAGAGCGCCATGTTTGTGAACAAGGGCGCCACACAATCATGCTGCAAGCACCCTAACTCATGAAAGAACTTATAAACAGCCACCAAAAGAAGTTAGCATCGATTTCTGTGAGACAAGGGACCCGTCAGCTCTGGCGTCGGAAACGGATGTCACGCTATGCTCTGGGCTGGTACTAGTACCATTTTTGCGCCCGAGAAACCATACCGTGATCGTGGTCAGTGCATCGAATAACCTTTATGGTCAAGGTTCAGCAAAATAGTCGTAGTAGTAACTGAATACCGTTCGTGCTTCTGCAGAGTAGTAACTGAATACGTTCGTGCTTATCGACTGGGAAACAAACTTTTCCTCATAATGTTGACTTCTGATTGAGTGTTTCGTTTTAGATCGGTCGACTGTTCATCAACATCACATTTTCAGTTGTATGGATCAAAGTGGTAGTCTATAAGGGTTACCTAAGTCATCATGTGGGTGCTCAGTATTACAGCAAATTTGTCACACTCGTTCTTCTACCTCTTTCTATGATTTGACTTTCGGGGCAAAATTTAGGAGCTATGTCAAAGAAAAGAACTGGAGAGTTACTTGGTGCCCAGTGATGCGCCGGAACTACGAGTGTTCGCCGAGTGATGACCTCCACGGTACGCAAAAAATGTGGTCCGTTTCCTTTGCCTAGAGAATTCAAATCAAAGTATTTTGATTCTCAATCGCAATTCAGTGCTGATAAATTGTTAAGGTATTACATCAATAAGGGCATTCTATCGAGCTCAATCATTTCCTGCGCATCAGAATTCTTCCCTGTTCTATTGGTTGCGCACTGGTTGGCCTGTGGCGGTGCGGAGGAGAAAGCGGAAGACATCGAGCGACGTCGACAGGTCGGATTCGCTATTGTCAGGTGTTTGACCATGAGATATCGATAGGGTAGCCATTCGCTCATCCATTTCATTACAAGGAACCCTTTGAAATGCAATACGATTATCGACGCGCGTTGAAGCGCGACAAGTCTGGACGCTGCCTTACCTCAACATAACCAACGCCAGATTCAAGCGCCTGATTGTGAGACACGCGCTTCACATGAGTACTGAGGCACTTCCCGTCATCACCTTATAGCACTTGCGAGGGAACGTAGTGGTAATCCGTAACAGATAACCTAATACCAGTATCTTTTCAGAGAGTTGTAAGGTAAGGGCGATAGAGGCGCAATGTTGTTCACGTGACTCCCAGAGCGTGTCCGACTCCGCCCATATTGATATCTAACGCCTTGCCCTCTAATTCATTTTGAACATCAGCTTGAGCGAGAAAGACTAATTCAGGGCGCGGAATGAAAAAGATGGGAGTTACGCGAAACCCCGAAACAAGAAAATTCATCAGTCACCTAGAATGATATTTCCGCACTTCGAAGTTCTCCGTTTTTAGCTTCG